GGGGGCCACACTGGGAAGGAGTGGGATCTGTAGTCTCTTCAGAGCCAGAATTGCTGATGCTCAACCAAATGAGTATAGCCCTGAGGAATGGATGATGGGAAGTCTAGCCTGTGATGTAGCTGAGCTCAGAGGATATTTTATACATAAAATGAAGCCACTATTACGGCTTCTGCCAAGAGAAGGAACTAATGAAAATCTTTCCAAATGAACATCTACAGAGTGTTTTTTAGAACTGAAGATGTTGTGGTCTGTCTCCTTGGTAATGAAAATGTTCTTGTGTGAAAGAGCACACTATTAAGAAGCACACTCAACCATATTTCAAAGTAAGCAACTTACAAAGACAATATAAGGAAGAATGGAAATACAAAGTTGCACCTGGACGATCATTACACAAATGTAATGAGTTTAATGGTAATGGTTGGTGACGAGATCATTCACCAAACTATTTACACTTATAACCTAAGGACTTTGCTGAATGTGTGTTATACTTCAATTAAAAGTTTCAATAATTAGTATTGGCATCCTTCCAAAATTATATACTTGCAAGCAAGTATAAATTTCTAATTAAAAATTCTGAAAAGGAAAACAAAATAGTGGCTTCAACAGCATCAGAGCACAGTAGTGATGTAAGACAGTTGTTGTTGTTGTTGTTATGTGTCATTGAGTCAGACCCAACTCATAGCGACCCCTCCTTGAGTTTCCGAGGCTGTATCACTACGGAAGTAGATTGCCCCATCTTCTTTCTGAGGAGAGGCTGGTGGGTTTGAACCGCCAGCCTTCTGGTTAGCTGTCAAGTGCCTTAAGCACTATGCTACCAGAGCTCCCATATATGTTAACACCTATATTTGGAGAGACACAATTCCATCCATAACAAAATTAGATTTTCTGTAAGATAGTTAAAAAATTTAATTTTGTTACAGATAGAATTGTGTCTCTCCAAATATAGGTGTTAATAACATATATAGTATAATCTTGTGACTAGGAGCTCTGGTGGCATAGTGGGTATGACGTTTAGCTGCTAACCAGAAGGTCAGCGGTTCAAACCCACCAGCTGCTCTTTGGGAGGAAAATGAGGCAATCTACTTCCACAAAGATTTACAGCCTTGGAAACTCAATGGCGGTCATTATGAGTCAGAATCAACTTGATGGCAGTGGGTTTGGTTTTGGTGTTATACTTGTGAATGTAATGTGGGAATAGGCTTTTCTCATTATGCTAATGTGACCATCATCAGTGTAGGGTATGTCTTAAACCAGTGAGCTTTGAGAAATAAACCAAAGAGATTATAGACACAGAGAAGTAAGCAGAGATAGAAGATGATTTCAGGTCACATAAAGACTGCCAAGGAAACTAGGTACAGAAGCTGATAGACCTTCCCCCAGAGCCAAGAGAGAGAAAGCCTTTCCCATAGAACCTGTGCCCTGAATGTAGATTTTCAGCCTCCTAAACTGTTAGCAAAATAGATTTCTGTTAGTTAAGGACAACCTTTTGTGATATTTGTTACAGCAGCACCATATAACTAAGCCAAATTTCACCAACCAAAATGAAATGTTTTATCAACAGAGAATTGAAAAATACTTAAAAGCTGGTACAGATACTACATTTCTGGACTAAAAGACAACTTCCCACCCCTGTATTTTTTCTTTTTCCTTTACTAAACTAGTACTTGTGCGGTGGAGGTGGCGGGGACGGGACGGGACGGGATGGGACCTGCTTATCACCAGCCTGGTACACCGGGAAGTGGGATTTGACTATTTTCTAATGACATGTGTTTTGCTTTAAATACCAGTCAACAGTCTGATTCACAAAGGATTAAAATAATTCACCCGAAATGAGCACTGATCAGAAATTCCAAATCTCACAATCCTAGCTTTTGACACATTTGGTTATGGTGTTGGTGAAGAATATTGAATGGACTACCAGAACAAACAAAACTGTTTTGGAAGAAATACAACCAGACCGTTCCTTGGAACCAACAATAGGCTGCAACAATGGACTCAAACATATGTACTATTATATATATATATCTTTATAATATAGGCATTGTCTTATCTATATGACAGAACAACCAACTCAGCAGAAATAGAGTTCAAAGCTCTATATACTATTATATATATATATATATATATATATATAGCACAGGAACTAGACAATGTTTCATTCTGTTAGACATGGATTCTCCATGAATCAGAATAGACAGCATCTAACAACAGCAGCTTTCTGTTTTGCCAAAAGCTGTTCCCTGGATACGGCACTCAACTTACTTATTTGTCAAAAGTACCACAATAACCCAGCTCAAAAGGAACATGGCTGTACTTCTCAAATAAGGAGCTCTGGTGGCGCAGTGGTTAAGCATATGGCTGTCAGCCCACAGGTCAGTGGTTCGAACCCACTATCCTCTCTGCAGAAGAAAGATAAGGCAGTCTGCTTCTGTAAAGATTTACAACCTAGGCATGGGGGACATCAAGCTCAACTGGCATCACATACTAAACAAAAACATTGTTTAACATCCTACTTTGGTGAGTAGCAACTGGGTCTTAAAAGCTTGCAAGTGGCTATCTAGATGCAGTGATGGGTCTCTCCTCATCCAGAGCAAAGAAGAATGAAGAAAACCAAAGATGCATGGAAATAAATCAGTCCAAGGGACTAGTAGATCATGTGATTCTTATCCTGTATGACCATGAGACCAGAAGAACTAGACAGTACCCAATTACCACTGTCAACCACTTAGAGGGGATCAGTGCAGGAGATCCTGAATAGAGTGAGAGAACAATGTGGAACGAAACTCAAAATCATAAAAAAATAAATAAATAAATGAAAACAGACCAGGTTTGCTGGTGTGATAGAGCCTGGTGAGACCCCTGAGACTATGGCCCCTAGTCATCATTCAGGTCTGGGACTGAACTCACTCCTATGGCTTCCAGCCAAACAATAGACAAGCATATGGGGTGAACATTTACATCAGGTAGATACCCTCCTTGGAGCAAGTGTGGGAAAATAAAAGGGCAGTGTTTGCTTAGGGAGATGACTCGGGGGGCAAGAGTACATGGGAGCAAAGGGCACAGAGAAGAAGTAACTACAGGGAGGAAGTGGGAAGAGAGCTGTTACACTGTGGGGAATTGTTGTCAGTGTCATGGAACAAAATGTGTATGAACTGCTGCATGGAAAATGAATTTGCTCTGTAAACTTTCACACAAATCACAATTAAAAAAAAAAAAGATGTATAGCCTTGAACATCCAAATGGCTTTAGATAAATTAACTTATATATCCTAATACACTTCCCCATTAATAGCATGTTGGAATTTAACAATCTCCATTCTCCCACCCTGAGAAAGTTATCAAAATGTTCAGTTCCTAGTACAAAACCAAGTGATCAATAGTCAGCAGACTCCCAAGATGTATCTAATTTTGAGTTCTGAGATCTTAAGCAAATTGCTTAACTGTTGTAGACATCACATCTCTTGGTGTAAAATTAGGGAAGGGAACCTGTGGTGCACTGAACTACCGGGTATGGCTCTTCTAGTCATGGTCTTTGTGACTCCCACCAGATGACTGGGTGCAACTATGCAAATGTAAGGTGCTTGTGGACCACAACGTGTATTAGACAGCTTGTTAATAATGTAAATAAGGTACATGGAACCCTTGTGGGGGTGGGACTGTGCAAATAAGGTGTATTGAACCTTAATATGGGGATTGGTCAGTTTTGCCATCTCACTAGGCTTAAAATGAGCCATCCCGGAGTTGGAAAAGGGGCTCTCACTACTATCAAGAGAGAACAAGGAAGAGTGGGGTGGGTCCTTGGTCCTGAGATCCCTGCACAGGGATGGCAGCAACAGAGGTGGCAGAACCAAGAGAGTAGCATGAGACAGAGTGGTGTGCTTCCTGGCCCATGGGGTGAAAAAGCTTAGTGCCTTAGGTCAGGATGCCTGCTGGTGGAGCGCGGTGCACTTACTGGAAAAGCTCAAAGAGCTTTGTACCATTTACCAAAACAGGGCTGAGGCCACTGAGAAGAGTGCCTGTGGCACACCTGAGAAGCAACTGTCCTGATCAAAGAATTGTATCCTGATTGTTCCTGAACCTCAACTGTAACCTTCTATGTCTCTACTAAACACCATAATCATGAATATTGTCTTTGAGTTCTTTGTGACCATTGCAATGAATTATCAAACTTATTAGAGAAGTAGAGAACCATGGTAGGCACGACCGGTGTCAAAACTAGTGAAACAGTGGGAGGGTAGATGATGTCCTGGACCCTCCTTCCCCTTGTGAAGTTGGAGGAAGTCAGATGCTGGCCCCACTGCCTTTTTTGTAGAACCCTAAACAGATCCCACTCTCTATGGAAAATTATCTTGTATCTTATGGGCAGACAGGTGCTCCTCTTAAGAGTAGAGGCAAAAGGCTGGCAGGCCAACATTGAAGATGTTTCATTTTTCATAGATTCAAAGTCTTGGCTGCGGGAATGGAGAAGAGAGTGTATGAAAAAATGAAGCAGGGGGACCTGATGGGGAAAGGGTGGTCTGTGAGAAGATAAAGATGATCCCGAGGACCTAGGAAAGAACACCTGGGGGCCTAGAATGAGAGTCTGGTGAAGGCACTCTGTGGAAAAACGCACAGGGATAACAAAGGCAAGGGGTCAAGTATGAGACCTGACGGGGAGATCTGAGGGAATAGAGGAGGGGTGAGGGAGAGCCTAAGGGCCGAGGATGGGATCCTGAGGGAAAAGGCCTCTGTGGGAAGAGCGGAAAGGCATAATGAGGGCGCGGATGGAGAACTGGAGAGTCAAAACTGGAACGCTGGTGGAAGGGGTTTGTGGGAAGACCTGGAGAGAATAGGTATCTCGTAGGCAGGGTCGCAAGACCCTCGAAAGCCTGCAACCTGACTTACTTTCTCCGCTGGACCTGCACCGCTTTGAACACATCTTCGCGTTTCAGCACCACGAAGTCGCCGTCGCAGATAAGGTGGGCGGCGGGCGGCGGGCCTGGCTGCTCCCCTGCGCCCTCCATGACGTTCTGCCGGCTTCTCTGCTCCGCGGGGTTCCCCCTCAGATCTTCTTGGTCTGTTGTCGCCGCCAGCACTCTCACCCCCCACAACCTAGAAGAACCTCAAGCCCTCGGATCGGCACCGCCCCCACGTGCTGCCGGCTTCTTCCGCTTTCCGGCCTCGGCCGCCGGACCGCTTCCGGGTGCCCTACGCCTTCCGTCTGATTAAGTGCTTTGATTGGCTGAGCTCCATCCCGCCCCTGCTGCCTCACCGATTCCCTGGATGGAAGTTGCGTCACAGAAGCGCCAAAAAAGAATTTGGAAGAAAATTGGGTTTCGACTTGGAGCGCAATTGCGTCTGCATTTTGGTTACCTTCCCGGAGGCCTTCGCGGTGGCAGTGGAAAAAGTGACGTTCCCAGGCTGCTCTACCAGATAGGACTTAGTCCCATGCGGGAACGTTGGAAGAGCTGCGGTTAAGGAGAACCGTGGGACTTGGCCAGGGTTGCCTGGGGAGCTCGAACCTTGGCGTCTCCTTTTAGCCTCGTCGTGCTTCTCTCCTAGAAGGAAGGGAGAGCCGAGCTGGGCAGACGAATCAACGTGTACCCAGGAGCCAACAGCAGTGAACTAGGAGAGCTCTGGGTTCTGTATTCCTTGCAAGTAAGAACTTATCTTCAGGAGAAGTGAGTAAAGTAAAATATTTAATGAAGTACAACAGTTTGATTTGTTGTTGTTGTGTGCCGTCGAGTAGCCCAGACTCACAGCGACCCCTCCTTGGGTTTCCGAGGCGGTATCACTATGGAAGTAGACTGCCCAACCTTCCTTCCGAGGAGTGGCTGGTGAGTTTGAACCGCCAGCCTCCAGGTTAGCAGTCAAGTGCCTTAGGCACTAAGCTACCAGAGCTCCCTCAGTCATTCAACAGTTCTACCTCTTGGATTTGTGTATACTAGTTATTCTCACCATATTATTATGGTTGAGAAGGACATAAGGCGTTCTGGTGGCGTAGTGGTTAAAGCGTTCGACTGCTACCAAAAGGTCGGCGGTTCGAACCCACTAACGGTTCCGCGGGGATAGAGGATGGAGCAGTGCTTCCGTGAAGATTTACGGCCTTGGAGAAGTTAACGGGGCAGTTCTTCTCTGCCTACAGGGTCTCAGTGAGTTGAAATCACCTCAATGGCAGTGGGTTTTGAGAAGGCTATAGCTTATAAAACCTACTGCCGTCATCCCCTCCTTGGGTTTCCGAGGCAGTGTCTCTACAGAGGTAGATTGCCCGACCTTCCTTCCCAGGAGTTGACTGGTGGGTTTGAACCGTCAGCCTTCTGGTAAGCAGTCAGGTGCCTTAGGCACTATGCCAGTGTTGTCGAAGAGCTTAGTATTGAGTTTTGATCTCTTTACTGTCGCCAAACAGATCTAATTTCTCTGGGCTTAAGTTTCTTAATATGTAATGTGATCTAGTGGATTACCAAAATCTTATTCTGCCCTAAAATGTTGAACTTGTTTAGTTATTAACTAACTTATTAATCAGATCTTTTTAAGTGAAGATTTGAATAGGCTCACTTAATGAATTGCACTGTAAGGTATGGATATACTCTTATCCTTAGGATATGTTTTTTTTTAAAACCCGTTTTTCAAAAATCACTTTTATTTGGATTTATTCCTACTCAGCGGGGATCTATCTTTGAGAGTCTGAATTTCATAAAAATGGATTATCGCCCTATGTACAAAATCTAAAAGGGAATGGAGAAGAGATATTATATATTAAAGTATACTAGCATATATAGATATGCTTTCAAAAAATAAACTGTTACATTCCAAAAAAATTAGCTAAAAGCTGCAAAGACCGTATCTAATCAGTAATAACCTAGAAATGATCTTCTGACATCTTTTTAAAACAGTTATAAATCCCTGGGAAAATTAACTTCTTTCACACTTTGGCCTTTACAGAGGAGAAAGGCTGAGTCATCAATGTATTTCTGATAAAAAAGGATATAACTTTGCAATACTG